AGGAGGAGGAGGAGGAGGAGGAGGAGAAGGAGGAGGAGGAGGAGGAAATTCACTACGATATTTAACCTCTTATTTGCGTAGATTGGATTAAAATTTAGGCTTTTTTTTTTAATTTTTATTACGTGGAAAGCCAAGCGGACTTTGCGATTACTTCTGTTTAGCTCTTCACAGAGGCAGTGAACGACGTCTGCGTTTGGCGACATCTCCGTAAACACATCGATAAGTTGTTTAGCTTTGGTGTTTCTTTTTTCTCCTCCAAATTGACGTACAAATGTCGACAATGGCATTACCCTGAACGCCCTTTCATCCAATTTCTGTTGTTATGTGCATTCGGTTTGGCTGAGTGTTGCAGCGCCAAGCACTGAGCACAATTGTTGGTGAAGGGAAATTTTCCCCTCCGATTCCTGTGTTTAGGCTGTAGGTGACTTCACATTCAGTTGAAGTTGCCAAGGGGATGGGGAACATTTCTACAGTCTCATTGAAGCCACTGATTGTCGGTGCTGACTTTTGTGTGCTTTCTCGCAATGCAGAACACTTTCTGATGGCTGACGCGGGAGGTGTACCAAGGGAGTGGCCATGGCCGCGGATCAACGAAGTGTAAATTGGCTTTCTAATGAATCCAACGTCCAAGGTCTTTCCGTTCTCCTGAAACGCAGGCATTTTTGTCCGTTTGAATGCCTTCGCCTGCCAAAAGGGATGTCTTGAGGCTTCGCAGAACCACCGATAAAGATCCCAATTTTACGGAATGATACGGCCTCAACTTCCCAGCATTATTCTCTCAAATAACAAGGCGAACGCCTTAGAGTCTCAACCACTCACAAGTACACAACCCACTCCCACAGACGAACTCATTCGTCTAGTTATTCGACCCTCACTTCTCCTACACCACTTTCCATCCAATCAACCACTGCAGACACGTTTCGCAGATCTCCGAACCTCCTCCTCCTCAACTTCCACACATTGCGGAACTGAATGGACATTCAAAAAGTCCTGGAAGATCATCGACACACTCTCCAAGCTTCGACTTTCTCCAGGCGAGACAACATATGCCTTTCTCACCAACTCACTGGAACTATACAAAACTAACATGCCACAAGTAATGGAGGTGTAGAGAAGCACACAGGTTGAAAGGCACCTCTTTGCTCCTCCCGCTCCCTCCTTGCCTTCTCGAAGGAAGCGACGAGAATGCACTTCAGCGAACCAAGGAGGTTAGGAATGCCCAAAATGAAGCTGAAGGCGGCCCGCAGCAGGGCAATTGGCAACAAATCCACAATGGTAGGCCACTTAACCACCTTCAGTTGCTCCGCGATTTCTAAATCGATGGCCACCTTCTTCTTGCCCGAGGCTTTGTGCCTTTTCATGTGAGTTTCCAGCTGTTCTCGCTAACAAACAATCAGATGTACAGTTCGTAGTTCTACCAAAGTCCATCATCTTTCACACTCCAAGCCCCAAAGTGCGGAGAAGAGAGCGGTGAACTCCTGCAGTTGACATTTTTTCGTCGCACTTCTTGATAGTGCAAAACATGCAGCTCTCCAATCAGGAATGCCCCTTTTTTAACGCTTTATTATGGCTTAAACTGGGTTGTAGGCAAATGGGGTGATTTACGCTATGGGAAATATTACTCGGTTTATTTCAGTAATATATTATCAAGTACATTTTTTTACCATATTTCAAAGAAATGTAGTCATCTTCTCCAAACAATAAGGAGAATTCAAATAACTTAGTTACAAGAATTTATGTTTGCATGCAAGAGTTGTCTGTCGCTTGAAACAAGCCAAATTGTCAAATGCCCGATGGATCGTAATTCCATTGGCTCGCTGAACAGACCGTCGAATGGGGTAATTTTCTTTGCACTTCACCAATGCCACCTATAAAATCAGCCTCAAGATTGGCATTGTGGAGAAACAGGGTGATGTGTAGAACGCAAAT